CCATTTCGGCAGCCATAGCAACCTAGCACGTACTAGCCTGACCTTGCCTTGGTCACTAGGAGGTCAGATGCCTGCTTTGTGGCAAGGAACCAATCAGAAGTTAGCTGGTGGTGCTATGCTTTACATCCTCCATGGTGGATGGATGAAAGGCCCAAGCTAACATGGGGTTAGCTCGTTAAACAACTGCAATAAAGCCTCTTGCTGTTTGCATCAGGCTTTCGCCTCCACCTGGTGATTGGGGTCGTGGTGGTCCTGGACCGAGATTCTGAGGGCCTGAGCCTCCGGGGGTCTTTCACCATAAAACTGGAAGCCTTCTCTAACGCCCATCTCTCTATCCTCAAGCCCGTGCTTCCTCTGTAACCACAAAGACAATGCTCCACTGAAGCACTCCACATACCACATGTGCTGGTTTGAAAGAAAATGGCCTCCAAATGTAGTAGCACAATTAGAAGGTTTGGCCTTGTTGGAGGAAATGTGTCACTGTAGGGGTGGGCTTTGTGGACTCATATATGCTCAAGCCACACCCACTTCCTGTTACCTGCCAATCAAGATGTAGCACTCTCAGTTCCAGCACCATGTCTGCCTGCATCCCACCATGTTCCACCTTGATGATAATGGACTAAACCTCCGAAACTGTAAGCAGCTCCAATGAAATGTTTTCCTTTATAAGAGGTGTCATGGTCATGGTGTCTCTTCACAGCAACAGAAACCCTACAACAAAAGTTGATACCAGGAGTAGGGTATTGCAATAATCGGCCTGACCGTGCTTTTGTCTGGAGGAATTTGGACTTTGGGAGTTTAGGTTAGGAAAGCAGTTGAACATTTTAAGTGCTGCTTAATGGGCCATACTAATAGGAGCATGGAAGAGTGATTTGAACTGTGCTGAGCTGGCTCAAGAGGTTTCAAAGGAGAAGAATTTTAATGTTTCCTAGAGATCTTTCTTGCCATATTTTGGTGAAGAATGTGGCTACTTTTTGCCCTTGTCCAGAGTCTGCCTGAGCCTAAAGTGAAAAGATTTGGATTAATTCTGTTGGCAGAGGAAATCACCAAACAGTCTAGTATAGACTCTGTCATGTGGTTGCTAGTGTTCACGTTTATAAAAATCTAAAAAGAAAAGGAGCAAGCTTAGCAAGGAAAAACAGAAAATGTCAAGTCTGAGGAGAAAAGGAGTACTAGGAAGTAAATGGAGCTAAGTCCTGTTTTCAAGGAGATAAGCAGATTAAGAAATGGAATGAAGAGAATGGTGACCTCAGGGCAAGATCCCACCCAGCTAAGTTTCCAACTTGTGAAAAGGAATTAAAAGAAAAGCCCAGAGCCTTCCTGACCAGATGGTGGGACAGATGGCTAGGTGTGCAGTGACCTTGAACTCCTGAGTTAGAAAACAGAGTTTCTGCATCCCAGGGACTCCAGCATACCTTATGGTGGACTCAGTGCCTCTCAGCCCCTGGCTGCTGATTAGCGTGTACCAGCTTCTGGAGCACCAGAAAGGGCATTTTCCTGTGTGCTGAAAGTTTACCATGCCTAGGGATTTTAATCTGCTTTGGTGCTTCAGCATCAGCATACTCCTCCCTATTGGTGACTGAGGTGATCTTTGCTGCTGTCTTAGTTGTCTTCTACATGTGTGACCTGCACTCCAAGATAATATTCATCAACTGGCCATGAACTGACTTCTTCAGATCCCTCAGAGCAGACATCCTCTCTCTGATCACCTCCATTGTCATTGTAGAAGGAAAAGGCAACTCCAAAATTGCCGATGGAATATTGGGCATGTTTGCTACACTGCGCTTTGGCTGTGGTGCCTACTTCATCTTCCCTCTAAAACACGGAGACATACACAGCCCACAGATGGCCTGTAATCCTCACTCTGCTACCTGCAAATAGCTCCTCCGTCAAAAACTTCCTCTTGGCAGGTATGGTGGTGCATGCCTTTTAACACAAGCACTCAGGAGGCAGAGACAGGTGGATCTCTGTGAGTTCAAGGCCAGCTCGGGCTATACAGTGAGACCGTGTTAAAAAAACAACAACAAAAACCCATCCTGTTTCCCCAACACTTCAACCAATTCGCTGATCCAATTGAAAGTACTTATGGTACAGGAGATTAACCTGGAGTCATCTGCACACTAGACAAGCAGCTATATCCCTTGTTGGGAGAGTTTTGTCTTCCAGCCTGACAATCACCCTCCTGGGTGTGGTCACCTTTATGGGTGACACAGGCCCCCCTTTGCTCTGCAGTATCAGCAGCTGACATGAGTTCTGCTTGAATCATTCCCTCACATAAATGACCAAATGAATGACCCACTACAAATTACCTTTTCTCTGTGTGGGGTGAGCTGTGAAGGGCTAAATAAATAATAAAGAAGTTGTTAAAATCTAAAAAAAGAAGTAAAGAAAGAAAGTGAGAGAACTGAGGAGATGCCATAACAGGCTGCTCAGACTTCTCTCGGACGTTAGGCCTCAATTTCAGTTTCTTGAGACTGAGCAAGCAGTTTCTGAGGAAGAGCCATGAACAAAGGACGATCAGTCTCCAACACCCACCGACAGCAAGGACCAGCAGGCCTGGTACATGCAGTACCAGTTCAGGCCAGGCCTGAATCACAGTCAGCAGATAACTAAATAAGGACAAAGCCCGGGACTTGTTTAGGCCTGCCCCAAAATGGAAAACTGCACCCCTGACAAGCCCCTAATTACCCTTAGTCAATTAGAACAGATTAATATGATTGCCACTCGCTTATGCCAAATATAGATAAAATGACCTAACTGCCTTAGGACCCTCCCTTGGCTACGCTTAAAAGGAGCCTGTGAGCTCCTCTCAGGGTTATCCCTATTTTGACTTTGTGTGGGATGGACGGCCCCAGCATGCTGGAATAATAAATGCTCTTGCTGATTGCATACATGGATGGTAGTCTTCTGTGGGACTTCTCCAGGACCCTGACAAAAGAAAAGGAAGGAAAGAAGGAAGGAAGAAGGAAAGCTTAGAGCTGGGTGTGGTGGTGCACACCTTTAATCTCAGCACTGGGAAGGCAGAGGCTGGCAGATCTCTGAGTTTGAGGCCACCCTGGTCTACAGAGCAAGTTTAAGGACAGTCAAGCTTTGGCAGTGAAGAAAACCATGGAAAACAGAAAGCTGATGACTATGTCATTGAATGATGGGCCACATTCCAGCCCAGCTAGCAGCAGAACTTGGCAGCTTTAGCCACGTGGTTCTGTTTTTAGAGTTAAGGATGGCATAAAGGGGCCATGGAATTTGCTGAGGCCAGGCATGTGTCAGGCGTGTCCCTGAATTGAGGCCTGGAGAGGGATGTAGCTTAGTGGTAGAGAACTTGCTTAGCAAGTCTGAGTTCCATTCCTTAGCACTAGCCCCAAATAAAAATAAAAAAGCAAGCAGAAGAAATGAGATAAGAGTGGTGGGAATGGAGAAGTTTAGAGTTGCAAAATGATTTGCTTTTGAGTTTTTTTTTTTTTTTCTGAAGGAAGAATATCCAGTTTGTTTGACATCAATGGAGATTTCTTTCTTTCTTTCTTTCTTTCTTTTTTTTTTTTTAATGTTGGAGTCTTAAAGTTAGAGGTTTTAGTCTTACATCTGAGTAAGGTACTTCCTTTCCTTACTCAGATGTAAGAAAGGAGAAGGCAATTCAGAGTCACTGAAGGAGAAATAAAGCAGGGTTAGAAGTATAGTACCCGCCAGCTTTCAGGCCCCTGCACTATGGGGCCCAAGCACCAAAGTTTTCCACCCCAATCTGACTACACCCCAGCCAGTGTTATTAACTATGAACCATTCCTTCCTACTCTCCTAGTGGCAGGGCAAAAAACATCAGTTATATAGGAAAGAGTATCAGTCTTCAAGGGAGACAACCTCACTCACCCTCACCTCTTTAATTACACATTCCAGACCCAGTGAATAAAGGCCACTTTCCACATGCCTACAGCTAAGGATGAGGGAGCAAGCAACACCAAGCCTTTTGCTGCCAGTGGGTCTGATTCTGAGGAATATGTGACAACTTTTGGAAAGCAATGCCCTGCCTCTGCCACTGTACCCAGGTACTGTGAGGGTGTAATTTCTCATACCCTCCTGTCTTAAGTGGCTGGAAAAATCTAGACCTAGATAAGAGATGTACAGAATCCATACATGGATAATGGAGGTAACATAACACACCCATCTTGAAGAGATATGAACGAAGTAAACCCTCCTACGCCTCTAGGTAGCCCCTTGCCTGGCCATGGAAGGCCTCATAGTCTTAGCTACCACAGTATTCTGCTGACCACATATGCTTCCCTCCCTTACCAACTTCTGGGCCTTCTATTTGCTTTTAATTTTCTCTAAGTTCTCTTATATATGATCATGTTCTTGTTTTTGTTCAATCTAAATAAGCCATTTATAGTATCTGCCAGGTGGCCATGGTTCCAGGTCATAAGCACAGACTGACTCCTAGTATCAAAGGGCTTGAGATGGCTCACCTGGTAAAGGTGCTTGCAGCCATGCTTGAGGACCAACCTGAGTTCAAGCCTCTGGACTTAAAGAACTGACCACACTCACAAAGGCAGGCATGTGCATACACGAAAATATATGTAATAGTTTTAAAAATCAAACGGCCCGAGTTAGACTCTTACTCCTTGAACAATTTAACTGTAGTAGGCTACTGAAGTGTAGTTATGCCATCTCATGAAAGTACTCCTAAGAGTACATTAAGTGCTAAAACTACCTTGGGTAATACTGGTGTCTGGACCAACCCTAAATTCCTATACAATGGGACCCTGAGCTAAAGGTTACCTGACAATTTAACTGCTGTCTCTTCACTTCTGTGAACAACACTAGCTTGCCTTTCTGTATACTTCTCAGTTGTAGAGTTGTAGAAGTTGGGGGTGCCTCCCACAAATCTTCCTGGGACAGTCCCATTCGACTTATCAGGACTCTTGGGAGTTTTTCTTTTCAAGTACCCCATAACATAACATTATCACCAGGCCTCCAGTTTCTAATTTGCAAATAGACACGGCAATTCTTACCTCACTGTCAGCTTCTGAGATGTACACCAAATGTCCTTGTAAAGTTGGTCACATAATATTGGCACCTAGAGATCACAATAAATGGTAGTTATTATGAAAGACTATGGACAAAAGAAGCTAACATCGGCCCAAAGTGTAGCAAATTCCATCTGTCGGCTCAAGGGAAAGAAAAGTACCATCAAATATTGGGATGAGCTGCACACATCCCTTCTGGAACAACCTTTTATTGTACGGACAGAGAACGTCCCAGGAGCCAGAAGAACAGTGTGGTTTTACAGCCGTCAGCCTTGATAGAGCCTCCTGGGCTTGGCCTTTGTAATAATAGGAAGTGCTGAGTCACCCTGCCCCTGGAGAGGGTGGGGCAGTGGCAGGCCTCCCAGAGAGCTGTCCAGGCCCACTCCATCCACTCGGGTCTCCTGACCCACTTAAGGGTGACCTTCTCTTTGTCTCAGCCCTGTTTACACTCCAGTCTCTCACCACTGATCCAACTGGTTATTTTCCTGCTCTGAGCAGTAGCCTCCTGTCTCAGTTTCTGAGGCTGAGCTCAATGGGCAGGCGCCCTAACAGACACTCGGGAATTTCCACCTTTACATTAGAGGGCCCTAGGCAGGAAGAAGTGCCAACCTTTTTGTTAAGAACCCTGCTTGGGTTCTTAAAGTGAAAAATAAATGAGAGGGAGGAGGAGCGAGTCAAAGTCCTGTGCAAACTGGGAATGGACGCACGGGAAGCTAAATGGAGAAGGGGCTGTGTTCTGGAGGATGGAGCTCCACCCCTTTGTTCATCTCACTACCCATCTTTGCCCTCTGGGAGGTACCCGGGTTCTAAAGATATCTTGCTATCTCTCCTCTGCTCTGGGTTATCTCTATAATAAGTACTAATTTTAGTTGTTAATTGGCCCTTGCTCCATACACTTGCAACTATGAAATGGCTCTTCGCTTTGTAGGCGGCACAGCTCTCTAGCATTCAGATGTCACGAGTTAACAGGTGATTGACACTGGCAGAAATGACTGTGAAATGACTTTTAGCATCTGCAGTAGCCGGAGAACCTGTAATTGTAAAGAATTCTGCCTTCTCCGGTTTTAAGTTGACCACTCCCAGCCCCCTGTTTCCTTTTAACTCCACTTCCTGTTTCCTCATGGGTGTAATACAGAGTGGTTAGAAGTCTCAGGTGTGAGAACCAAGCTGTCAGAGAGGATCCCTCTGTCACCACTTTTCTTGCAACCATGGCGGCAAGCCTGTGAAATGACAAAACACAATAGGGGCTTAGTGATTGAGAAAACAGCAACCACCACCTCAGCCACTTCCTTTTCCTCTTGGGTACCAATCTCTGAGATTATACTTTTGAACCTGTGGTACCTTCCAGGCCCTTCAGTGATGATGCAGATAACATAGGGACCCCTCCCCACACACAGGCTTTTTCCAAGCTGATCACTGAAGGTGCCACAGTAGCAGCTGAATGTTTCCTCACTCCAGGCCTATCAGTCCAGTTCCTTTGAAGCAGGCACTTTCCTAGCACAGAATGGGGAGCTAAGCTTCCCAGAGAATACTCTGTTACTCCATTCCCTGATGTGAGATTCCTTTTCTTGCCCCATACTTTTAAAGGCTTGCCAGCTACCCATAAGGTCTGAAAAGTTCTAACTTTGACCTTTGAGCTAAGATCCACTCCTCAGTTTCAGTTATTAAGTTATTAGGTTTAATTTTACTTAAGTTCTTTGTGCTAAGATCCACTTGTCAGTTGGTCGGCTGCCATGCCTGGGTAGTCATTGCTTCTTCGGCCTGTCAATGAGATGAATAGATACTATTTCCTTGCTCTAGTTTAATTTTTGTTGTTATTATTGAAAAGCCAGATAGAATCATGCAAGAATAACTAAGAATTTTTAACTATAAAAGTATATAAACCATTATTCACAATTCTCATTATAAAGTAACTATAAAGTCATTTTACAAGATATAAAAGTCCAGAAAAGTTTAATCATCAACAATAAAAAGCACAATAATCTCACCACCCAAGAGTGGTGGCTGCCCACATGTTCCCACTGATCTTACTTCTCTATAACTGGTAGTTGTGAAGGGACCAGCTCCCCATTTCCGCAGCCATAACAGCCAAGCACATGCTTGCCTAACCTTGCCTTGGTCACTAGGAGGTCAGATGTCTGCCTCATGGCAGGGGACCAATCAGAAGTTAGCTGGTGGTGCTATCTATGCTTTACGGCTCTGGGTGTGCTTTACGGACAAGTGCACAGCAATGACGCACAGAGCATTCGCCCTGGGAGGGCCTATGGGCCATACAACCATTTGACCAATTAAAACAGGGCAAGCCCTCCAAGCCCGGAGGCACACCAATCCTGAGCCTGTGCATACCCCTAGACACTCCCCTTACGCTGTCCTACAAGATCTCTATGTGGTGGCTTCTTGGCGTCTTTCCCAGCCATCCGCCATTGTGTGAGCTAACATTAGCTAACTAATGTTAGCTCGTTAAACAACTGCAATAAAACCTCTTGCTGTTTGCATCAGGCTTTCGCCTCCACCTGGTGATTGGGGTTGTCTCGGTCCTGGGCCGAGATCCTGGGGGCCTGAGCCTCCGGGGGTCTTTCAGTTGTTGTCCTTCTGCTTAAATTAGAAAGACACATGCTAGATGGAACACGAACCTGGCATGATGGAACTCAATGTTGTTATTTTGTAGAAGTTTAAAAATTAGAAAGGCTCGAGATGGAGATGGAACATGAACTATAGAGAACACGTTAACCATAGAGTTTTACTACCAGGTGGGAGAGTGAGAGGGGGAGAGAGAAATGGAAGAGCAGAGCAGAGAGTAAGAGAGAAGAGTTAGTGGTCAACCACCAGAAACAGAGAGATGAGATGAAGGGAGAGAGCAAGCAAAGAGAGAGACACAAAGGGAGAGAGAGAATGTGGAGTTACACGCTTAAAAAGGGAAGCTTGCACATGTGTACTGAGTCCTCAAAAAGCCCCACAACGTGTGACAGCCATAATATGGCCATGCAACACAGGGCCCTTTGAGCTGCCTAAGTATCAGCCTGAATATCATATGCATGTCCCACCCATTGTCAGGGGACGAGGTCATTATACCAGGTTCCAACAGTAGTGGAAAAACTATTCTTAAAAAAATAATGAAAGCTCAGCCGGGCATTGGTGGTGCACACCTTTAATCCCAGCACTCGGTAGGCAGAGGCAGGTGGATCTCTGTGAGTTCGAGACCAGCCTGTTCTACAAGAGCTAGTTCCAGGACAGGCTCCAAAGCTACAGAGAAACCCTGTCTCAAAAACCAAAAAAAGAAAAAAGAAAAAAAAAAAGAAAAAGAAAAGAAAAGCTCCATTTAGTAAGATTGGTGTTGTCTTAGCACCATAGCATATGTGGAAAGATAGGTGTTGTGGGCCAGTAAGATGACTCAGCAGGTAAAAGGTGATTCTTGATTCTCCCTTCTCCTGATAGCCTGAGTTTGGCCCTAGGACCCACATCATGAAGGAGACAACAGACTCATCGAAGTTGTTCTTTGAACTGTATACATACACACATTGTACACACACACGCGCACACACACACACACACACACACACACACACACACACACACCACACACTCATATGTACATAGTAAAGAAATGCAATTTTTTAAATATATAATTTAAAGAGTAAGGGTTACTAAGACTGAGTAAACTGAATCCCTGAACGGTGAGCTGGTCACTCATGCAAGTGGGATCCAATCCTCGCTCCTGTCTCATTCCCAGAATATAGTGTTGTAGGGATTTTCCTGCTGAGACAGGAAATGCCGAGAGTGGCTGGAAGGTGGACACTGACATTGCTCTTGTGACTCAGATCTCCCCAGGCTGCCGTTTAAGTGCCAGGACGAAAGCTCTCTGTGTTCAGACTTTTTTTTTTGAAAAGAGTTTTATTTCTCCAGGCATTCAAAATACAGAAGCTGACTAGAAAGCAAGGGAGAGATTCCTCTGAAACTCCACAAAAGCAAGCAGGCTGGAAGTCCACCAAGGAGAGGAAATCCTTGGCCCTTGGGCCACTTCAAACACTGCATGAACCTGGGTAATGTCTAGCCTATTGGAGACTGCCAGCTGCAGATACAGTCACAGCAACAGAGGCCAGGGCTGTTGTCCAGGCATGAATAAATGTCAGTAAGGATAGAGATGCAGTTGTAGTTCTACTAGAAACATCTGGGCTCAGATAAAAGTAGATCAGGCTGTCTCTGTATTCACCTCCTGCCAGCTTTTGTCATTCAATAGACACCTAAAGGCCAGCTTGTTCATTGCAGTTTCCTTCACTCAGCACACAATCTGAGTACCTGTGTTCCCGACATTGTGTAGGCTGTGTGGATAACTCCGAGGAATCACGCTGTGTGCAGCTGTTTAGTGGGAGAAGACTCACAAGAGAAAAGAAATACAATAGAAATGAGTTGTGCATACCCCATGCTTTCTTGTGGTCAGGTATGAAGCCCTAGGGGCCTTGCGGCGGACACTGAGGTGGAGATCAGTAACAGGAGGCATGCACTGTAGCTTGATACTCTCTTTAAATTCATATGCTTCCCATGGCAGTATTGGCTCCTTTCCCTGCTCCATTTTATTAGTAGGCTCCAAATTTACAGAGCACCAACACTGATCAATATATTTAACGAAATGTCACTTCAAGGTCTGTCTCTCCATCTTTTTTTTTTTTTTTTTCTGTCCCCTCTGGGAAATCACTTTCAGTAATTCTTAAAGTGTATTCTTTCAGGCATTTTGGTTTTGGCCTGAGTCAAAATCAGCCCTTTCTTAAAGAAAAATAAAACAACAAAAAACCCCAAAACAACAAACAAACAAACAAACAAAAAAAACCAAACCAAGAACAGCAAAAACGTTGTTCTTTTGTAACTTGCACTGGTCATAGTGTTTTATCACAGCAACAGAAAAGCAAGTGCACACAGTGGTGCACGTCTTTAATCCCAGCATCAGGAGGCAGAGTAGACACCTTCCTGTTTGAGGTTATTTTCCATTTGTAATAATGGGCAGCAGTGTCTGTAGTCAGTCAATAGTAGGTATGTGCAAATACGATTTATTAATGAGTTCCTGACTGAACCCAGAGGTTGAGACTTCTGTTCTCCCAGCAGTGATGACAGCATCCTGCTGCCACAGCCTCCCCCACACAGAGCGGTAGCAAACATTTTGAGTTCTACCTATTAGAAATGTTTAAGATTTCTTTTAATTTACCTTTTTACAAACATAATCAGGATTAAATAACTTTCCAGATATTTAAGGGTCATTGTTTCTCAAGATAGGGTTTCTCTGTGATGCCCTGGCTGTCCTGGAACTCACTCTGTAGACCAGGTTAACCT